GTGTGTGTGTGTGTGTGTGTGTGTGTGTGTGTGTGTGTGTGTGTGTGTGTGTGTGTGTGTTGGTCTGTCATGCAGACTTGATGGATTTTAATGAAACCCTCTGAAAGAACTAAGACAATTGATTGATTTTTAGAGTCAGTCCAAAGACTATCACAGCTGCTTGACCTTGGCATAACCCTAACTAGTCTAGAACCCTGTCAAATTTACACATATTGAAACAAAAGTTGGTGCGGTAGTAGCTGAGACCAATCACTAATTTATACTTTGATAATTAATTGATGATGTAATCTCTATTTGCAAAAGAGTCATCTTTATCTGTTAACGAAACATTTCATGTCCCTCTGGACAGGTTTTAATGAAACTCTCAGAAAATGATTGCTTGTTGTTCATCTAGGACTGATTAAATTTTGGAATCCACCCAGTTCAAAATGATTGCTGCAGCTAATTGTCCTTATCTCAAACAAAAGTAGCTACAGTTCAAATGAATTTATAGACACTGAGCTGAAATTTGGCGTGGGAGTAGTTTGGAGTCACCGATAATGAATTGAACAGATTCATTCATTCATTCATTCATTCATTCATTCATTCATTCATTCATTCATTCATTCATTCATTCAATGTATTTATTTAAACTGTATTGATCCCCTTGTGGGGAAATAGATTCTCTGCATTTTTCCCATCGCACTTGTTAGCACATGTGGAGTAGTGGGCTGCAATTTTTTTTATCAGTCAGATGTTTAAAAATGTAAAATGCTCTTCAAATAGCTGAAAATACATAATTTTGAGTTATCTTTTACAATTTTTTTGGTTGGGAGTAAATCTGTGGACACCCCTAGAACTGCTTCACTCCACAGTTGCATATATGAACAGGTGTTCCTTCGTCCTGTCAGCAAATGTCTGCCACTAGACTTCTAGTATTGTGTATTAAATGTATTATATTATTAACTGCTTTAATTAGACAACTTGGTTTTTAAAGATAAAAAAAATAATACCAAAAACAAAAGTATGTGAATGTTTGCAAATTGGCAGTGAGATTTAGAAAACTGCAGAAGGGGCACCACCTGAAATCATGTTTAGGGCGCCAAATTGGCTAGGGCCAGCCCTGAAGTTCATGCAAAAATATCATTTAAAAGGTTTGACTAAAACAACCACAAATTTGGTCCATATCACAAGTTGGTACAGATCTGACAATCTGACATAAAGGTTGGCAGGTGATATGGAGTCCTACAATAAAAGATAGGTCTTGAACTGAATTTATTCAAAGCAATGATTTAATAAAAACAGCAACACAAGCCTACTTTTCTTTTCATCTGAGCTCATCCATGCAGGTTTTGGAATATTTCTTTCACTTGACTTTTACAAGTTTTGCTCCAAACACTTTATTTTTAAGCTGTATTCTTCAGCAATTAAATTTAGGGCATTTCTTTTATTGATCATGTCCTAGAAACACCATACAGTACATTTACTGAGCAGCAGCAGCATGGGTCCAGAGCAGTTGTCACTGGGCATTTTTGTTTGCCAAATAATTCTTGTAAAAGCACAATTCTTCAGACCTGAAAACATAAATATACCAATGAGAAGCTAGAAAATTGTTATTCAATACAGCACTGCTGGAAGTACACAATGTTCTATTTCACGTTATTTTATCCGGAGTGTCTAACAAGCGAGGAGCACTGCAAAGAGAGTTCAATATCTTGGTGTGTGTGTGTGTGTGTGTGTGTGTGTGTGTGTGTGTGTGTGTGTGTGTGTGTGTGTGTGTGTG